AAATATAAAGAATTAAACATAGTTTTATTTTACTAACTAAAATCGAACCGTGATTACAATTATAACCTTTTTTACATCAACAATTGACAATTGACATTTGTTATATCTTCTTCTTATATTATTTGTTATATCTTCTTTTTCTTCTTCTGTTATATCTATTACAATATACTACAGAGATAAGTAAATGACTTTGAGGTTAGGATTTAGTAGTCTAATATTACTTTGAAATACATAGAAGATTAAATTATGAGTAAAATGGTATTTAAATGTAGAAATTAACAACAATGAATAAAACAATATTTACCTGCAAAAAATTGTGCGTGGTTTTTAGCTGGTACAGTTTTGCCAACCCAGTTTACATGTTCTTGTCCAGCCATTTTAAAATTCTTTATTATGTTTCTTTTATATTTGTCATCATTCGTAAAACCTTTTCTTTTCTTGTTTACATGCCATTCCTCATCTGAACCACTCAGTCTAATCTAATTATTAACCACAGCTAAGACGACAACAATCATCAATAAACAAAGCACAATATTGTCTGACTAAATTCAGCTGTGAGGATAGTTCGAATATTTGCCACGCAGTTCTAGCGCCGCAACTGTTTATCGCAGAAAGAGAACTTGTCCTGGACTAGTTTCCTTTCAGCAGTAAATAGAATATTAAAAGCGTTGCCAATACTAATATGCGGACGTGTTTCCTTTTTGTATTAAAGGTTGCATTTTGCTGCTACACAAAATTCGTACATATTGGACATGATGCCTTTCTGCAGTTAGCGATTCGCATAGACTTAATATATTTTAAATCTAGGTGTACATCCACCTGATTTGCTCTCCTGACTCAACCTCCTATTTATGATCCATATAACATCTTAGATATAGGTCACACAGAATAAGGAATATAATTGGCTTTTTACAGTCTACTGGAATTTTCCCACACGTCTGTTATGAGTATTATTTTATGAAATCTATCTATCAGTGTCCTCCAATTTGAAAATTTTAGCTGGTAGATGTCTATATCTAGGGCTTTATGATTGTTCAGTGCTTTAATGGTTTCCATTATTTCCTGTCTTTTAAGTGGGTATGTTAATTCATTACTCTGGTTCTAATCTTCTATGACCTCTGCATGTGCTGTATATGTTTGTGTTTGCTCTGTTAGCAACCCCTCGAAATAGTTTTTCCAGTCTGCTTTTATTGCTGCATCATCACTGATAATTTATTCTTCATTATTTCTAAAAAGATTAGTGCGTGGTTTATATCCCTCTGAATTGTTTCAGAAATTTATATACTACTACTCCTCTAGTGTTACCTTGATTGAAATCTTCCACCATTTTTAGTATTTGGTCGTTTTTGTGCCTCCCCTTCTTTCTTCTGCATATTTTGTCTGTCTTCGTTCTTCTTCAAATTGTTTGCGCCTTTCTAGTGTTCTCTTTGAGTACACTGCACGTATAGTTTATTTCTTTTGTCTTATGCTTGTTTACATTCTTCATCAAACCAAAGCTCTGTCTCTGACCTTCTCTCGAAGTGATCTACTTTTTCCATTCTGTTTTCGCTCCATTGATCGGCTCCATTCCAAGATGGAGTGACAACCTTCCATAGATCTTTATACAGATAAAGAAGAAGTTAATTTAATTTACAGTATGTTTCATATTTCAACATACATATAAAAAATTCTCTTTATTTAACATGTCAAATCTGAAACCGTTGTCAAAATACCAATTAAACATTTGAAAAGAGATCAAACTCTCCAGGTTCTTATTTGAAATTTGTGGTAATTAACAATAACTCTCTTATCTGTATGCATAATCAATCAAAATACAAATGGTTGCAGCAAAGATTAGTTTTTAATATATATTTATACATTACAGAGCAAATTTGCTTAATTATTCACTGTCTGGTACAAATTATGATTGATACATAAAACATTTGTTTAATGACTCGTTTGGAATTATTGGAAATGCAATAAAAAATTACACTTGTGCAATATAAATGTGATAATATCCGATGTTTCTATTTAATTTTAACATATTTATATTAAAAGTTCTTGTTCTTGTTTCATAAACTTTTGCTCTAATAATTAAGGTTCATCAAAATATCTTAAAATTATCAGTTTTTTAAACCAATTTCGGAAGAGTTATAAAAAATGCGAATTTAACCTCACTCTGTTAAATTTCTCAGTTTGTGCATGATTTATAGGCTAAAATTCTAAAACATAACCAAAGTTAAGTAATTTTATTCAAACCATTAAAGAAAAGTTATGGCCTGAAGATAATGATGTGTAAAAAATAATTTAATATGAAGATAAATGATACACCAACCACAACTGAGATAACGACATTATCACGGTGCTAATGTGTATAAAAATACGCCTGTAGTAATATCTTTATGGTACGTAATTAACATCTTAGAACCACAGTTTTGATAACAGGAATCAACATCAGTATAAATTTATAATACTACGGGGGCAATGTAAAAATTTCTCACGTAGCTCATAGCACTGCTGTTTATGTTAGCTATTTGTGCTATTGGCGACGTGCAAGTACTTGGAGGGGATACGAGAAACGATCGTGCGCGAGTAGCGGAGAAATTTTGCATTTTTTAGTGCACAATTCATAGATTTCATAAATTCATATTGTCAATTGTCATATTTCATATTCGTTTTGTTTATTTACATTTACACCTTCTGTCTCTGAAGAAAATGGGATTTAGGAAATGCTGTGTTATAAATTGTAAAAATACAACAAAAAATTGTCAATTTAAGTTTTATTCGTTTCCAAGTTCGAAGCACAAAGCTACTACAAAGAGAAAAGTGGATTTATATCATAAAAAAGCATAAGTAACATAACCCAAATTATGCATTAATCTTGCACCCGATTTTAAAGTCAGTTTGAAATAAATAATAAATAAAAGTTCACTTTTAAGTGTAAATTTTAGTTTCCTAACACTCACTTAGAGTTCATTTTAACCGAAAAATCAAGTTTAATATTTAAATTTTATTTTTTTGAAGTTTACAAGAATGCATCAAGTTCAAGTTTTTCTGAAGATGCATTAAGATATATTCGCTGTCCAACAGTTTACAGGGAAAGAATTAACTGTTCAAACCAATATGATGATATCATGGGTTTAACCTGCTAATTTATGCATTAGAATTATTTATGGTAATTTATTTTTCTAATTCTTCCAATATTTTTTGACATTTGCCACTACTAAAGCTTTTCCCTTTTACCTAGTGCTTGGTTGAAAAGTTATTTGGTGATTTACTTTCTCAAATCCAGTTTTTATTATTGAATCCATATTAACAGTAATGGTGTAATTCAATAATATATTTATTTGTATTTACGCTACATCAACGTTTACCTTTTAATAACATAACATACCGACATAACCTCAATCTTACTTTTTCTTCTTATTCTTTTTTGGGGCCACGTCCTTGACAGTTATCCGGTTACCTCGATCTAACATAAAAGCGCAGTAAATTTTGCTTATTTACGACACCAGCTGTCGCTGTTCCGAACTTGCACGGTCCCAATACGAGCCTAACAAGTGGTGTTCCCAAGAGTACCCGATGCAACAAAGAAAACACAAAAAATTTGAAAAAAAATATTTATTTTTCAAAATACTCTGCTTTCACTTTTCCCAACGGTGTTCAATAAGTTCGAAAGCCTTTTTATTATAAGAACTCTCTTGCTCCTCAAAATAGCCATTAATTGCCGACATTACTACTTGAAAGTTGGAAAATCTTTGACAACTGAGCCAGTTTGCGAACAGAAAATAATCCTAGGGGTCTAAATTTGGCAAATAGGGTGCTTAAGGCTGCAATTCAAATTTTAGTTCATGAATTTTATCTATTGTAATAACGGATCTGTGAGCTAGTGCCTTGTCTTGATGAAATAACACTTTCTTCTTGCCAAATGCCTGTTTTACTTGATTTCTTCGCTCAAACGTTGCCATAAGTTCTTATAATACTCTTTTTTTTTTTTTTCAAGACATTCAATGAAAGTTATTACAAGCACATCTCGAAAACCGACGCCATGACCTTGCCTGCAGATGAATCGGTTTTCCCCTTCTTTGGAGTTGGTTCTTCCTTTTGAGGTTATTGTTGCTTTGTCTTAAGTGTGGCGTGATGCATCCATGTTTCATCCATAGTTATGAAACGGCGCAAAATTCTTCTTTGTTGTTGTGAACTTTTGCCAAACACTCAATTGAAACATCTTCACGACACTATTTTTTGCTGAGTTTGAGCAAACACGGCACTCATCTTGCACACAACTTTTTCAAGTCCAAATTTTCAATGAATATTCATGTGCCGAACTTTTTGCCTACTACCCGCACTTTTAGTTGACAATCATCGAGTACCACTTTGTTGATTTTTTTCTTTGCTAGGGTCGTCAACCTCATTTGTTAAATTGTTTAAACACTCTCACCCAATATTTTACTGTTTTCTCTATTTGCGATATGATTGAATTTTGAATGATTGGAGTTAACAAATATATTCCATTGACTCTTTAACTTCACAAAATTGTTAACCGTTTATCTTGCAGCACCGCAATCGCAATTTTAGAAGGTATTTCCCCCCTACCCCTGAAAATTGAATCGGTGCACCTGCCAAAGTTTGTTCTTATTCTGTTCAGTATGGCTCTGATTCGTCTTGTTGGTCGAAACCATCTGGCTTCCTTGTAATACATGGCATATTCCTGACAGGCAGTGCATTCTTCTATTTTTCTCTCCAACGGTAGGTTATCTGGAAGTTCCTGTAGGAACTTCCAGATAACCGACAGCCTCTATGGTTGCTTCTTGAGCGAAACTTACTAATGTCTCTGCCGGTGATACCAACGTAAACGGTAGCGGAACACAGCGGAACATGTTCTTTAGCTTAGCGTTCTATCATAGTCTTATCGTCCATGATGGCTTGGAAACATCTGTTGCATAGCATAGTATTGATAACATCAGTAATCTATCTGCATGGAGTCGCTCGCAATTAATTTATATTTTATTTAATTTTAGGATCTCATTAAAGAACTGAAAAGTGAACTTAGAGGAAATTTTGAAGATGCGATTGTAGCTCTGATGACGGAACCTATCGAGTTTCAAGCCAAACAGTTGCATAAAGCTATTAGCGGATTGGGAACGGATGAAAGTACAATTGTAGAAATTTTAAGTGTCCACAACAATGATGAGATTGTAAGAATTTCGCAGGCCTATGAAGGATGTAAGTAACAAAAATTTTAGTTCGATATGATTGATGTGCATTTGACATAATTAAAGTTATATAGGTTTTTCGTTTTTATGTCTTTATAATATATTGTATAGGTATATTCTTTATTTTATAAAACATCGGTCTTTCGCTTGTTATTTAAGTAAATCAAGCAATTTTCACAGCTATGATGGTCTGTCGTATATGACCAGTTTAATTTCATTTTTCTTAATATTCTCACCTGAAACAGTAGGTAAATATGTAGACACGTGCACCTGATAAGTTTTGGCGTAACGTTCTTTGTAACGAAAATATTTTGCCTACCTCAGGGTAAGATTATGAGGGTAAAGATAGGGGACAGAAACTATGGGGGTGAAGACAGGGCAAGCAAAATATACGTTAAAGGGGTACTAACATAATCTCTTCAAAATAACAAAACAAACAAAACAAGAATAAACAGGAAATACCTCTAGTAAGTAGTACCGCGCCACTTTGAGGTGCCTAATTATACCTATTACAACCACTAGTTGTAACTAGGGAAATAATTATAAAAAATCAAAACATGTCTGGGCGACATTTTTGTAACGATTACTTGGGATACTATTAAAAAAAGGATTAATTAAAGAAATATAGACAAAATGTTAAGAAATAAAATTTAACATTTATTTTTGTGTCACCACAAACAGTTACAGCATGGACAATGCGAAAATGTTACAACAATAGTCGCAAAATACAAAAATACAAAAGAAACTTACATGTGTCACCCGTTTACAAACTCCAGGAGTTGGAGATCAGAATAGAAATCAAACTAAAATCAAAAAATAATAAAACGAGCTGTCATAAATTAACATTAAATTTAAAACAACAATTAAAATGACAGCTAAAGTTAAAACCTAAAATTTACAATTTAAAAAAAAAAACAAAAATTTAAATTGTTACGAAAGCAATTATTGTTCTAAAAAACATGTTTGTCTTTACTTTGAAAATTAAACAAACACTAAACAGTTACCTGGATTTCACTTCATCACACTTGAGTTGCAAACCGGACTTAAAAACTCAACAATGGCTGGGAATCTCTGACACATGAACAGAAAGGAATTTGGGTCACTGGAACACAAGCCTTGGAAGCTAAACTGGACTTGGCTTTTAAAACTAACTGAACCGTTAAACTGCTACCATATTTTACCCATTCTTCATAAAAACTTAGAAATTGATCGCATAACTTAAAATAACAAAACACAACGAAAATTAAGGCGTAGATTAATAATTTGAAAACGCAGAACTTCGGGCGGCATAAATCAAAGAATATCGAGCAAAATGCGCAGCCACGAAATTAATAAACAACTCTAAAATGGTTTTTATTACTTGGCGACGCTGAAAAGAACGAAATATTATTTGGGTTTTAATACGTACGAATAGGAAACTAAAATACATTAAAAATATTCTTCGATTTTTCAAAAATATATGAGGGGATTTTAATATATCACCTATACGAGGGGATTTCAATATGTTTTAAAGAATCAATGAATTGCAAATCCTACACTTTGACTCGCCGGATATTCTCTTTAAACATACGCGGTATATAGGCAGGAAGGGAAGTGGGTGGTGGGTGCTGTATTATTGGAGACGATGATTTATTGAAGGGTCAGATACCCCAATTTCTGGTACCTCAAGTTTTCCCAGAGGCATATAATACAAATAATCTGAGCGCTGCAATACACTCCCGTTCCCCCAATACGCCAGAGACAACTGTCTCAAAACAGTCCCTGGTTCTCTTGCTAATGGACCGGGTTTATCGACCACCATGACTTTCCCATTGGTCATTTAGGTCACGTGGTCGATAAACCAGTATTTTAGTCTATACCGAAAATCAGCATAAACACTTTGGCACCAAAAAACACTGTAGACCTGTGTTATCGAATATGACTTTACAAAACCTTTACTAATCGTTTAAAAACTAAACTTCAGTTGCCTTAAATAAACAGGTCATAATTTCTAGATTTTGTGTGTATGTGTGTTAAACCGAAAGCCGGGAACTGCTGATTGGAATTTCGCGAAAGAAAAAAGTCAACTTGTGAAGTACAGGACCGTAATTAGGGGCACATAACATAAACAGCACCTAAATGGAACAGGTCGGTGAGTTCTGGACATAGTCTCTCTTATTGGACGACCTTTGGCTTACTCTATTGCGTCAGTTACACCCTATATACAAGGTCGTTTATCTTTGTAGTGATTAGGTATGGTCTCTCACGGGTCTGCTGCAAATTGGGACTCAAACCTTTTCTAATCGTAAGCTGGTAGAACAGACACACTGTAACACTACATCACCTTCCTTCCTTAAAGCCAACGGGAGTGGATTTCCGATCGAACCTAACCTTCATCCTCGTATTTTAGTCTTATTATTAGGATATTTTGAAAAACATAAACTGAAAAGGTTTTCAAAATTTTTAACCTTGTGTGTAGTTTTTAGCTCTAAGAATGATGTTTTGTTTTAGTATACCAACGCTCTTTGGAATCTGATATCAAAGGAGATACCTCAGGAACATTAAAAAGATTATTAGTCGGATTATCCACGGTAAGTCATTGAAACCAAAGTGAATTGCATTTTCGTTTCCATAGGTTCTTATCCCTTAACTCTATCCTACTCAAATTTCGGTTTAAGTGATCTATTTGGCTATCTTAAGATGACATATCTTTTTACCAATTGTCAAAAGAAATTTTGGATGTTTGGTGAATCATTTAGTACTTGACGAAGAACATTTTTAAATGTGATATTGTTAGTGTATTTGTTTGCTTTAACTAATTAGAGCTTTTTCTTTCCACTTACTGTTAGTTAATGATTTCTTTAATCTTGAATGGTAACTAACATTATTTAGGAAATGTATCATTGGACCAAAATAACATTCGAAAATATTAGAAGTAATTTCTTCGTGGTGATCTTTCGTAACGTTTGGAACAAGTTCTAACAAATCGTCATAAACATCCTTTATCTCCTCCACTATCAGTAATAATCTAAGGACTACGTTGACCACTTGGAAATATTAACCTAGTAAGCAAACCTGCAGTAAACGTCCGACGAGCATTTTGTAACCTATTTATCTTGCCAAACTTTTCTCACAAAATGTCATTCATTAGTCCATGTTTTATCCATATGGAAAATATTAGTAGATTCCCTTATCAGTTTTTAAATTTCTCATGAATATCGCTTAATCCAACAAATTATTTCTTCTTTTTCTATAAGCACAGATTTTCTATCTACTTTTACTACACTTACTACAGTTTTCTTCATGTTAATGTTTTCTGTGCTCCTCCAACTCCGGTCATTGCTAACCACTATACTCCAAACACTACTAGTGATGTGTTCATGTACAAGAGCGTCATGTACAGTTAACACTTTAATTTTACAAGAGAAAAATTAGATGTTGGTGCCATTTTTATTACATAAAGTCGATTAGTATTACTTTTTGTCAATTAGGGATTTATTATATCGATGTTTTACATCTGATATACCTTAATATCGTAGGGTTGCAGAGACGAATCCGACGTCGTAGACGAAGAAAGTGCCTTTAAAGATGCTCAAGCATTATTACAAGCTGGAGAACTTCTGTTTGCTGGAACAGAAGAATCAGTATTTAATGCTGTATTTTGCCAAAGAAATAAACATCAGTTGAATTTGATATTCGATAAATATGAAGAAATTGTTGGGCATCCTATTGAAAAAGCCATTGAAAATGAGTTTTCAGGTAAAATAAAAATTAATTTATAATCTGTAATAAATTAAGCATGTTTCTTAAACTAATTCTTTCATATTTTTTATTAAATGTCCCAATATTCCATGGAATTGATTAATTAAGTTTCAGTTCTACCTTGCAATCAAAGATTACGATGCTTTCGGATAATTATCTGTTATAAAACTCTTCTATTTGTTTTATCTAGGTATTTAGGTTGTGAAAAGGTGTCTTATTCTTACAGACCAAAAAATCCGCATATCACAGTTCTTCAAAGTTGACTGTTGAAATTAAGATCAAATTTCTGTCACATACGAGTACCTATATATTAATCAATTAACAATAATAACAAAGTTTCTAAGTTATTCCTAATCTAAATTAAATGTGTAATGTATTTCCGACAAACATTCATTGCGCAAGCTTTAATGGCATGTGTTTATCAAATTGTCAAATATATTCTCCGTCATTTGTCAAATGCAAAAAAATGTTTCTTGTTTCAAAAAAGTTTTCGTTTTCGCCAATCGATGTCAAATAGAAAGTTTTCTTTTATTGCATTTTATTATTTAAGATATTTTATTAACCTTATTTTGCAGGAAACGCTAAACAAGCCATGTTACACCTTATCCTGTGCGTAAGAGATCAAGTTGCATATTTGGTAACCAGGCTGCACGATTCAATGGCAGGCGTCGGTACTGACGATAGAACTTTGATCAGAATTGTTGTTTCGAGATCTGAAATCGATCTGGAGGAAATCAAACAATGTTATGAAGAAATCTACAATAAAACCTTGGCAGATAGGATAGCGGTTAGTATCAGATATATTTAGTTTATTTATGATATTAATATGGAAGGAGCGTAAATTTTACAAAATTTTATAGCACTCTGAACTAGGCATCAAATGTGTTACCTGGTCGGACTTCTGATGTACTTGCCTTAGACCTAATATTATTTGGGCGCAATCTAATTTTGAACTGGGCCTATTCTCATCATAAATTAGGAAACCCGTGCCAAAAGAAAAGACAACCTTCCTATAACAAATGTATTCCAAAGATAAAAATATTAACAATATTAACTATTTCTTTTAAATGGCCTTCATTATAGGTCCAACGAAAAATTATTCTCTATATCAATTCAATCTTATTTAATGTTAATTCCTTGGCCAATTTTCTTTATGGCACTCCCAGAGATTTTCGATGGGGTTCATGTCTGGTGAGCAGCTGGGTCATAGTGATGGAGGAGTTTCAAGCCCTATCAAACAACTTTTAATCTCTTTTAAGACTGTACTGGTCCTGTCACATGGTTTCACCCAACTTCACCCAAACCTTTTGACCTAACTTTTGCGCAGACGATGATATAAACCACATTTTCTTGCTATTTCTCTTTGACTATATGTTGCATTTTCTAATAGAACAGTAACAAAAGAGATTTGCTCAACACAAAGATCTTTACATTTACCCTTCTAAAAAAATTCCAATTGGGGAATAGTCGTCTTGTTATATGATTAGAAATTAACCAAATTTGGTAAGTTGGAAAAAGTCGAGTTACTGCACACTTTTAGCAGATTCTAATGCCATCTGTCACGTTTTGACAATTAAATCAAGAAGTTCCACCATTTTTAAATTAATTATGTAGCATGATTATTCACCAATTGTTATGCAACCCATTCAACAGCTTTGTATCACTGTGAAGATACTTTTAAGGCACTTGAAATTCAAAAGCCTAAAATTTCTCTGGCGAGTGTGATAATTTTAGCAGGGACTGTATATTAAGAGCGATGAAGTGTTTGAGACCGAAAAAGAAACTGAACAAACTTTATAACCAGTTGCAGCGGTTCATATAGTTAGTTTTAAATCATTTTAAAATCAAGCAGTATTTTATTTCAGCATAAATGAATTTAAGACGCCATACTTTCCAAATTTTCATGATAGCATACATCAGAAAACCATAGTAGAAAAATTAAAAGGGAACTTAAAAAATCATATTGGACTGTATCTATCCATTTGTTTGACTTCTCCTTCTTTTATTTTCCCGTTTCCTGCCTACATATGATATTCTTAAGGTTTTTTTTTCTTTGCCATCTGTAAAAAGTGTCCCAAATACCTTATTTTAAAATTATAACATCGTTTTAAAATAAACCTAGCTATTCTGTTCTCTAAAGTTTGTTGCTTTCTGCACATACGATGACCTTTTTTTATCACCAGAAAGGGAGTATGAATATATACGTTCAATCTAGAACTCGCTGGTTTCCCCCTTTCGCATTGGGTATAATATATATTACCATAAACAAAATAATAAGCCAGAGGACTATATGAAACTGTATTTAAAATAAGTAAATCAATAAACAAATTACATACATACATTCAATTATAATAAAAAGTGAATATCTACAAATTTAGATAAGAACTTTACAAATAAAAGGCAGATATCAAGCACAGTGTTAATTAAATCTTGCCTTAGTACTTTTGTTCTCAGAGCAGGGACATTTCGTTAAAAATGTTTATAAACACGTCAATGAATGTTATAAACGTTTAAACACATTTACACTAAAACTTCATTAGACAAAGGACAAACAGTTTAAGAATTGTTTCGATGCAACATTGTGGGCAACGGCAGGAGACATATTGATTGAATTACAGAGGAGGCAATGGAAAGCGACAATGTATGCAGCTTAATACTTGCCTTAAGAAGTGGTCTTCTTCTTTTGGTGCCTATCCTGGTGGATGTTGGCAATCACGATGGTCCATACAACTTTGTTGATAGCTGCTCTTAATAGATGTATGGTAGTCATTCCTGCCCACTGTCTGATGTTCTTCAACCACGATGTCCTTCTGCGCCCTTGACATCTTTTGCCTTCTATCTTGCCCTGTAAAATTAGTTGAATTAGTTAATACTTCTCATTGCGCATCACATGCCTTAAGTATGTCATCTTACTGATTTTCACGATACGCATAATTTCCAGATCTTTATTCATACGTTGGATCATGATGTTGTTTGTAACATGGTGAATATAGGAAATTCTGAGCATGCGGCGGTAGCACCACATTTCGAAGGCTTCTAATTGTTTGGATGTTGCCTCCGTCAAGGTCCAGGCTTCGACTCCATATAAAAGGGTAGAAAATACATAGCATCTCAAGACTCGTGTTGATATATCAATGTTCAGGTGCATATTACATAAAATCTTCCTGAGGCGATTGAAGACAGCTCTCGCCTTTTCTATACGACATCTTATTTCCTATGAGTGGTCCCATTCCTTATTTAGGTTGCATCCAAGATATGTAATTTTGTCAACTATTTTCAAGGGTTCATTATTAGCTGTGAATTGGTGCTGTATTACGTCGTTTTTACTTACTACAGAAATTTTGGTCTTCCAATACTTGTATGGAAAATAGGGCCTCTCACGTTCCCAGTCCGCTTCTAAACCCAAACTGAACACTACTAATGTTTTCTTCAATTTTTCTATATATGCGAGAGTGAATAACAGAAAGATAGATTTTAAGTGCATGGCTCATTAAGCTTATAATTCTATAATCAGAGAATCTGGTGGCATTTGCCTTTTTGGGAAGAGGGATGAAGGTGGCAACTAGCCGATCTGTAGGAAATTCTGTAGTTTCATAGATTTTGCAGTTTTTAAATAGTTGCAATATTTCAGCTTGTATGTTATCAGGTCCAGGTGCTTTGATGGTTTTTAGTCTTTTTATTGTTTGTTTATTTAACGGGATGAATTCTTTTTCCTTACAAAAATTACAATATACACATATAATTAACATATAAACTGTAGTCATATATTACAATTTTAAAAAGTATTAATAACATTAATGTCTCAATTTCTTTAAACTATTCTTGAACAAAGACACGGATAAATTAAACAATTCAACACTATCTTGCAAATTATTGGCAGTTCTCAACATCCTGTGATTGACTCACTTTTACCATAATTAGTGTGATGAAACTTTAGTCTAAACAGGTCAGGAGAGCGTGTTCTTCTAGAATTTACATTAAAAACAATTAATTCCAGCAGTTCCGGACAATCAACATAACCATTAAGAATTTTATGCAAAAAACGCAATTCACACTCAGATTCTCTATTTTCTAAAGTTTTCATATTAAGTTGACAAAGAATATAGTTATAATCACAGTTAGTTCTATTAAAACCCATTTTATACCTGCAAATTCTTAGGAATTTATTTTGAACTCGTTCCAACTGATCAATATACATAATTATAACATGGATACCAAATAATATTACAATATTCCAAAATGGACCGAACTAGAGAACAATACAAAATTTTGAAAGTAAATATTGAAAATTCTCGGGAGTTCCTTTGAACAAAGCCGAGCATTATATAAGCCCGCGATGTAATATTATTAATATGCCTATCAAACATTAGTCTTTGGTCAAATGTAATTCCAAGGTCTCTAATTTGATTTACTTCTGTAATCGATACTCCCTTAAGTATGTATGTTGTATATAACTGATGTTTAGTATTTCTGGAAAACGTAATTTTATTGCACTTTTTTATATTTAAATATAAGGCATTAATGTCACACCAACGAGATAAATTATTTAAGTCAGACTGAAGAGCATCCATATCAGAGGTATTTTTAATTGCTTTAAAGATCTTTATGTCATCAGCAAACAATAGAAATTCACTATTATTAATTACTGATGATATATCATTCACAAACAGATTAAATAGAAGTGGGCCTAAGTGAGAACCTTGAGGTACACCCGAAGTAACATTAATCGCTTCAGAAACAAAATCACCATATTTTACTATTTGTGAACGATCTGTTAAATAACTCGTGATCCAACCCAATAAATTATCTCCAATTCCGTATCCACGAAGTTTAGCAATTAATATTTCGTGATTTACACTGTCAAATGCTTTGGCAAAATCAGCATATATGGAGTCAACTTGGTTTCCCGATTCCATAGAATCAACAATGAAGTTTGAATACAAAATATGATTTGTACAAGTAGATTTCTTTTGATAGAAACCATGTTGTTGACCGAGAATTAAATTTTTACAATCGTAGGTTAACATATGGTTAACAAAAAAATCAAGCAACTTTGGTAGTTCAGACTGCAAACAAACAGCCCTGTAATTTTCATGGAATTCAAAATTTAACCAAGTTTCGACTAAAACAATCACATTGTAATCTTCGCATGACACTGTCTGGCTTAATTCCTTAAGCTTTGTTCTTAAACCACCCACATTTTGAAAATAAACATTTAGTACAGTTCTACCATTATGATCATTAACGCTACTTTTTGATTGCTATCTTTGATAATTTATCTTCTCTTTGTTTTTATTAATTTGTCGGAGATAGCTAGGACATTTTGTATCAAATACGTGATGATTGTATAATGTTACATCACTGAGCGTTATTTCTGGTCCTGAACATCCAGAAACACTGACTTCTGTCTCTTGTTCTTCCTTGAATAATTCTTCCATGTATTGCGTCCATCTCTCAAGTATTCTCTCATTTTCGTAGAGCAGCTTGCAAGTGGGGCGTTCTTCAAATGTAATTCTCACTCTTTCAATACATCTGCAACAATTTGCGTTATCTTGTGAGTTTTCCCTTTCTCTTATTACTTATTTTACCTCTTCTTGTATTGGGTCTTGTATTATTTTTCCGAAGGATATTCATTGTCTTTCTTTGAGTAAAAACACAACAAGTTTTTGTCCAAAAAATCTGAATGAGTGCCTCTAACTATTTTCATCAGCCTGCATCTTTAACCGTCTGGTGCTTTTAAACCTTTTAAAAACCATTCAATGAAAGTTTGGTGAAGGATTTTACGTCGAATAATGAAATGATTCTTCAGTACGACTTGAAGTAATGAATTGTGTTCCAAACTGAGGACTATTAATTCTCTTAATATTTTCAAGAACCAGAACAAATTGATTGTAATTTTCTATTTTGCAAACTTTAGATATTAAAATGTTTATAGATCACAACTCAATACATGTCTACATGGTTTTTTTTTTTTCAAAATGTAAGCTTTAAGCGTAATGCAAACCTTTTTATTTATTTCGTCTACACGCCAGTTAATGTGACTTTACATTTATATACCTACTTCAGCTTAATGTACTTTTCTATATACTGTCTTTTCTTTCAGGATGACACATCTGGCGACTACAAAAAAGCATTATTAGCCGTTGTTGGTTAAGTTTAATGTTTGTGTTTTGTTTTGTAAACTTCTTAGTAATGTTTGTCCATTTTTACTCGCATTTTATCTATTTTGTTTTAAGTTTGTATAGTTGTTTTACTGCTAGCTAGCGATTAAATGTTTTTCTCTTTGATATTATATAAACGGCAGTTCCTTTTTATCGAATTTTTGTTTTTAGGAGGAGGTATCATCAGATGTTAAAAAGACTTTGTTGTCTATTGTTGGATAAAATTCTTTATACCAGAGTATTATTAATATTTTTATGTAATAATAAGAACAAACTTTTGTAACTTATAAATCCTACTTGTAACTTATAAATATATGTCTTACAACGAATTGTTTTTTTTTCTCTGTTCCTAATATCTTCACGGCGAAATAAGACGAGAAACAACAATTACAAAGAAAATATACGGGATTTTCTGAGAGAAGAGGGACCTCAGTAATAAAACGATATTGAATGGAATCGCACAACAAACTTATAAAAATGATATAAATCCCACTCTCATATTTAGGTTATTAGCACAGTAACAAGCATATTACAGATAAAAATGAAAAATATACCAAAAAAAGAAACCAAATATCTATGAGACATGAGAGTTTGGAACAAGAAGTAAATTTTAACCTAAACAAAAACAAACAAGAAATTATAAAAATCGTTGACGTTAAATGGACTAATATTCAGAACATTTCTTCTTCAAGTTCCACTCCTATCGGAGATTGGAAATCAATCTGGCAATTATAATTTTATTGGTTACTCGCCTGAATAGTTCAATTGAACTGCATCCAAACCATTCACGGAGATTACGTAGCCACGAGATTTTACGTCTTCCTACGCTTCTTCTACCTTTGATTTTACCCTGCATTATATTCCTTAGTAGTTCGTACTTTTCACCTCTCATGATGTGCCCCAAGTATTCCAATTTCCTGATTTTTATGGAATTTAAAACTTCGCATTGTTTTCCTAGTTGTTCGAGAAGTTGTTCGTTTGTTTTGCGATCCATCCATGATATTTTCATAATACGTCGATAACACCACATTTCGAATGCTTCTTGGTTTTTAATGTTGGATTTTTTAAGTGTCCAAGCTTCAGCTCCATACAAAAGGGTAAAGAAAATATAACATCGAAGCATTCTTATCCGGGGCGATATATTGATATCGCGATTAAAAAAAGTTTTCTCATTCTATTAAAAGTTGACCGCGCAATTTCAATGCGGCGTCTTATTTCTTTTGTCTGATCAGTATCTTCTGTGATCCATGCTCCAAGGTATTTGTACGAAGATATTTGTTCAATTTCTGTATTATCTAGTACTAGCTTAACTTTGATGTTTTGTGCTTTTGTAAATACCATGAACTTGGTTTTCTTTAAATTGATTTTTAGTCCATACTCGTTGCAATATATATTTAGTTGTTCAGCAAGGTGTTGCAATTCTTCTAGTGTTCCTGCCAGAAGGACAGTGTCGTCAGCATATCTTACGTTATTAAGTGGCTCACCGTTTATTATAAGGCACTCACTGATCTCGGCAAGCGCTAATTCTGAGATGGCTTCACTGTATCAATTAAATAACAAGGGTGATAAAATACACCTTTGGCGGACTTCACGGCGAATCTGGATATCTTTGGTCAGTTCGTTTTCAACTTTCACTTTTGCTTTTTGGTTCCAATAGAGGTTACAGATGATTCTAATGTCTCTACTGTAAGTCGATTGTGCTGCACTCTGTCAAATGCCTTCTCAAAATTAATGAAACGGGCATATACTTCCTGATTAATATCTAAGCATCTCTGAGAAAGAACACTTACTGCAAACAGTGCATCTCGTGTTCCCAGTCTTTTCCTAAATCCCATTTGTGTATTACTTATGCCTTCATCTAATTTCTTATGTATTCTATTGTGAATTACTTTTAAAAACAATTTCAAGACATGACTTATTAAGGCTATGGTGCGATGTTCATTGCACTTCAAAGCATACTTGATGAATATTAAGAAATGTAACGATTACAATAAAATACGTGTATACCTTCGAGTTTAAATAAATCGAAAACGGTGATATCTATCGAAATATTACAAGAGCACCTTTTTTGCGTAGAAAAGTCTAAGGAAACAATTTTTAAAATATGTAAAAATTAAAAAGATGTGACGCAATAACCCCCACTTACCCTTCAAAACTACCCTGTATGAATATAGGATGTGGTAGGTGGTGACATGAAATTAATTCTTGTAATGTCTTATAATCACTTCCAAAATATAAACTCCGTATTCAAAACCGTTTGGAAGATATTTGAAAAAAGAATTTCAGTTCATCCCTTTAAAGGGTTGTATCTCCCTTATTATTCAGTATTATAAAAAGGTGTACATAAAGAAGTACCCTTATTTTTGGACGTACTATGAGCTCTAGAAATTAATGTACATAATTCTGGATCACCTTGTATATATATATATATATATATATATATATATATATATATATATATATATATATATATATATATATATATATATATATAAACAAATTTAGATTACTATAGAAGTAAACACTCGTTCATAATTATTTTGTTAGGTGCTGGTATTATTTTTAATATGAAAATAAGTTATATGTAAAAATATGGTGTGTGTATGCAATCAAATTACGGTACCTGTGATGTTGATGTAGAACTTCTGCTTCTTCCACAGTGCACTGGGGGAACTCAGGGTGGCTTCAGGGACTCTTCTTAGCCGCGTCGTCAAGTTTACACAAAATATACTGAAGTGTTTAGCGCGCTGATTTATACAAGACTGATTGAAATTAAGGTGCGTGTACTATGGTTGCTTTGCATACCCTAAAAGTCTAGTAGGGGTAGACTGTTCAGGGCCGAATTAATTTAAGATTGTAAGACATACACACACGTTAATAAAATAACTAAATATAAAATAAAATAATAAGAAATACTTAATAAAACATAAGAATATGTGTGGAGGGACGTAACAATATATATATATATATATATATATATATATATATATATATATATATATATATATATATATATATATATATATATATATTCGTTTGATGGTTGCGAAAAAACCCTCTGTATAAGTAGACATTGTAAAAACTACGACCGTCAATTTATATTAATAAAGTATTCAACTAGTGAATTCAGAGGTTTATTCGGTCAGTCAGGTTGGCAAAATAAAAAACAGAAGTCAACTACTTCATAAGTTTATCGAAGACGTTTCGCTTTATATTTCTAAAGCTTCATCAGTTCTCTAAAATACAAAGATGACATAGAGTTTATAAGAAATACAGATTTAATAATTAATTACTTACAACTCAATATGTAGTATTAAAGATGTTATCGTATATGTACTTAAGTTTACTCATAAATTTAGAACTAACTTAAAAAAAATTAAACAGAAATATGCAAAAAATAACATTCGCAGAAACGAAGATTTACAAAAACTTCAAACGTACATTTGGCTTCATTTAGAGATGGTTCTCCAATGAAGACAAACAAAACACTGATTTATTGCAATCTACGCAAAACGACGTGGCGCGATACCGAAAATGTTTTTCAAGGGCCATATGTTTTCAACAAATTCCAAGGTTTGAGACAATTATGAACTTCTACGGGGGTCATTGAAAGAATAGTTGGACGGGTGGATTTGTAACGGAAAAATTTGATATGATTTTTTTTTTTTTTTTCTGTAATTTATGTTTTAATGAAACTTAGAGCTTTGGGATGATTATGTTATTGTTTTGAATGGAAAATCCGGCTATTTTAAATTATGAATATTGGTATTATTTATTTCGTAAGATGAGAGAGTGGTAAACCTGGCTCAAATTGTCAATGTCGGTTCTTTTGTTTATTGCAGATGGGTTTTTTAGGATCTCACACATTTCAATAAAGGAGCGTTTTTGATGGTTATTTTGTTTGGCCAGTATTTTAGTATTTGAGAAGTCAATGTGATGTTTGGTGGAAATGGCGTGTTGTGCAAGGGCACAAGAGGGTTTGGAAAGTCTAATGTCGCTTTTATGTGAAGTTATACGCCCTAGAAGTGAACGACTGGTTTGGCCAATGTAGCAGGAATTGCATTCAGAACAGGGGATTTGATAGACAACATTAGTGTGCTCTAACGAGCTTAGTGGAGTTTTGGACTTGGAGAATAACTTTCCAATAGTTTTAGTGTTTTTTAGGGATATTTTGACGGGTAAGTTTTTGAATAGTTTAGTAAGCTTGTTCGTAACTTGTGGGAAATATGGAAGAGAAGCATATTTTGTGGCTGGTTTCGGGGTTAGCGGGGAATTGTCAGTCTGTAAGCTATTGGATATGGAGGCTAGTATTGCACCGTTAGGTGCTTCAGAAATAGAATGACCGTAGCTTTTAGAGAAAAACCCTACCCTACCAACCCTACCCCACCCGTCCAACTATTCTTTCAATGACCCCCGTAGAAGTTCATAATTGTCTCAAACCTTGGAATTTGTTGAAAACATATGGCCCTTGAAAAACATTTTCGGTATCGCGCCACGTCGTTTTGCGTAGATTGCAATAAATCAGTGTTTTGTTTGTCTTCATTGGAGAACCATCTCTAAATGAAGCCAAATGTACGTTTGAAGTTTTTGTAAATCTTCGTTTCTGCGAATGTTATTTTTTGCATATTTCTGTTTAATTTTTTTTAAGTTAGTTCTAAATTTATGAGTAAACTTAAGTACATATACGATAACATCTTTAATACTACATATTGAGTTGTAAGTAATTAATTATTAAATCTGTATTTCTTATAAACTCTATGTCATCTTTGTATTTTAGAGAACTGATGAAGCTTTAGAAATATAAAGCGAAACGTCTTCGATAAACTTATGAAGTAGTTGACTTCTGTTTTTTATTTTGCCAACCTGACTGACCGAATAAACCTCTGAATTCACTAGTTGAATACTTATATATATATATATATATATATATATATATATATATATATATATATATATATATATATATATATATATATATATATCCACAATACTAGAACGTCTCAGCAAGACTACTGAGATCATAAAAAGTATCAAGCAGAGCTTCCAAAGCTGGAACTTTCGGACATGTAATGAGAGGTCCCAAATATAGGTTGCTACAAAATATCATGCAAGGAAAAATAGCAGGCAAACGCAGTCCAGGACGAAGAAGAACCTCATGGTTGAAGAACTTGCGGGATTGGTATGGTGTTGATACAAGCATGCTATTTATGGTGGCAGTGAATAAAATCAAGATAGCTATGATGGTAACCGACGTTCTGAAAGGACATGGTACATAAAGAAGAAGATGGTTATTAAAAATTTTTAATAAAATATAGCATTTTGCAAAA